AGGTCTTGGGGTGTAGAGATCACCACCAAACAATACTATTCCAAACCGTAATCAAGTGACTAATGAGGGAAATGAATGTGTTGCGACAATGTTGTGTGTGTAAAAGACATTCAATTGGTAAGGGTGACTCAACAAGTGCAAATTGTCTCAATCAACATGTGTGAGGCCACAATACATCTATTGGTAGAGGAATATATTGTCTAGACATCATGTGAAGAGAACAAAATATCAAATCAAGTCATTGAACCTTTCATTAAGCTCATAGTCCAAGCAATCCATAAGGATGACTTAGTTAAACATGTATTATCTAAACATCATGTGAGAGGCCACAATTTATCTATTGGGAGAGGAATAAATTGTCTAAACACATGTGAAAGATACAACATATCATAACTAGTCATTAATCATTCATTAAGCTCACAATCCACATACAACACAATATTAAAGGAATATGCCATTTGGACTCACAAGCATGGAACATCAAACATCAAGAGTAGATTGTCCTCCCATCTAACATTATACTACCACTACACTAAATCTACACTACTAGCATGAAAATAAAGCTATCTAGACTAGGGGAGAGGCACAAGCCATCAAGAATAGACATAAACCATCAAATGAACCAAAATAGCATTCATTAAGCATATCATCTTGGTAATCTCTAAATCTATTGCATCAATACACATAGACATGCATCAAAAACACTAAATCTAGAGATAAACAAATGAATATCCTACTCTAGCATACATAGACATATGGGTATAATAGAATAGTCAATTGGAAGCATTAAACCATACAAACCATGAAATAATCAAGATTTATATATACATGAATATCAAGATGTATCATACAACACTAATCCCTCAATAATACACAAGATTAGAGTATAGAAAGCATGCTTGGGGCTAACTCTAGCCCCAAGAGGATGTCTAGCCACTCATGGTAGTGATGATCCAACCCTCAAGGGCTAACTCCATGGCTGCTCCTTGTTGGTGAAGATCTCCTCCAATGGTGCTCTAGCTTCCCTCCTTCCTCCTCTCCAAGAATAGCCTCCAAGATGATTTTCAATGTGTGACAAGAGACTCTAGACTCCTCTCCAAAAAGTGTATCATATTCCTTATATAGGTAGGTCAAATACACCCTATGATGAGCTGTGGTCGTGCAAGGCATATTCTCCAATGATTGGGTGAAGGACGGAATAAATGAGCTGGACTTGAACTTTTTCTCGCTGGAGGAAGTTCGATCGATCAAACATTAACTTGGATCAATCGAAGATGGGTTCGATCGATCGAACTGCATCTTGGATCGATCGAAGTGGTCTGAATCCTCCGGATAAGGATAAGGCTGAGATATTTCGAAGATATTTATGGGGAAAAGGACAAAAGTGGTTGGTAGGCGTACAGCTGTGGATAAGATCAATCATTTGAATAGGATAAAATAGGGTTCGATCGATCGAAGGTGATGTTGGATCAATCGAACTTGGAATTTCAGCAAAGGCCAAGGTTGGATCTATCGAGAAGTACTGTGATCGATCATAGATGTTCGATCGATCGAACTCTAAGTTGGATCGATCGAACTTTTCAGCTGCACAACTTTGATTCCTTTTTGCTCCTTACTTTCTCCACTTTGCTCCCTCCTTTGGTTTATCTCAGGATTTCTTCAATTAAGTTCTTATTTGACTGAGTTAGCTCAATTTTGGGATTAGTGCCTGAAAATATAAATAACACGTAATAAGTCTAAAACGGCAAAGTAAGATAGATAAAGGTACTAGAATGCTTAAGCTTAATGGGTTTTAATGCGCACTTTTTAGTGCTCATCAGGTAACCGCGGGGGCGAGTGAAATTGCCATCCCTAGTTAAGAGTACTTAAATAAGAAATTTACCTTTTTTTATAGTAGTAAAAATTCCTAAAATAGTGATTAACTAAAATAAATTACTATTAAAATGAATAAAAGTTTAAACATATTTTTAATTTTCTATTTAAAGAAGAGGAAGAGGTTTTCACTAATTAAATATGCATGTATATGTTTATATATAAGATACATATAGTATATATTTTTGGAAACTGATACAATTAATTTTATAAGAGTCTTCCAAGAGGCTTGGGTCTTTTATGGGAGGAGATAAATGAAAATTTAATTGCTTTCTTTTTTGTTATATATATATATATATATATATATATATATATATATATATATATATATCAAATTTTTTATTTTTATCATTCTATGTTATAATCTTACTATATATGCATTTTAACAAAAAATTCCCTAAAATAATAAAATAATGATTAACTAAAATAAATTGTTATTTAAAAAAGATTTATAAAAATTTAAATGCATTATCAGTTTTCTATTTAAGGAAGAGGAAAAGTTTTTCACTAATTAAATATGCATGTAAATATTTATACGTGGGATGTGCTATTTTTTTTTTTTTTTTTTTTTTTTGGAATTAATGTTCATGTGCGGTATGAATTATTATAGATTAATAAACATTTTTTATGTGAAAAAAAAAAAAAAATCAAAAGTGATAAGAAATTCCTTACACTTTAGAATAGTATAGATATATAAATATTTATAGATAAATATATATGTCATGAATATGCATTTTAACAAAAAAAAATTCCAAAAATAATGATTAACTAAAATAAATTACTATTAAAATGAATAAAAGTTTGAACACATTTTTAGTTTTCTATTTAAAGAAGAGGAAAAGTTTTTCACTAATTAAATATGCATGTATATGTTTATATATGGGATATAGTATATACTTTTGGAAACTGATACAATTCATTTTATAAGAGTCTTCTAAGAGGCTTTTATGGGAGGAGATAAGTGAGTTTCAGTAATTATAGATATTACTGTGTACCAAATTTACTTGCTTTCTTTTTGTTTTTTATATATATTATATCAAAAAAAAAATTATTTATCATTCTATGTAATAATCTTACAATATATATACATTTTAACAAAGAATTCCCTAAACTAATAAAATAATGATTAACTAAAATAAATTGTTATTTAAAAGAGATTTATAAGAGTTTAAACGCATTATCAGTTTTCTATTTAAGGAAGAGGAAAAGTTTTTCAGTAATTAAATATGCATGCATATATTTATATGTGGGATGTGCTATTTTTTATTTTTTATTTTTGGAATTAATGTTCATGTGTGGTATGAATTATTATAGATTAATGAATGTACATTTTTTATTTGAAAAAAAAAAATTCAGAAGTGTTAAGAAATTCCTTACACTTTTAGTTAGTAGTAAAAATTCCTCAAATAATGATTAACTAAAATAAATTACTATTAAAATGAATAAAAATTTAAACATGTTTTTAATTTTCTATTTAAAGAAGAGGAAGAGTTTTCACTAATTAAATATGCACGCATATATTTATACGTGGGACGTGCTATTTTTTTTTTTTTTTTTTTTGTTTTGGAATTAGTACTATATATATATATATAGTACTAATACGTTTTAGCAAGACTTACAAAACAATAAACACTTCTATTATTACGTTTGAATTTTAAAAGGCAAGACCAAAAGGTTCAAAAGAGTCATAAATAATTTATTTCACAAACCATATTTAATTTCCATATATAAATAACTATAAATGAGAACTTTATATAAATTTGAGAGGTCAATTTTAATTTTCTTATACAAAATTAGCATTAATAATCATGAATAATCACTGTTAATAGAATTTTGAAAAATATTTGGGGGTCAAATTTAATATACTATACAAAATTACCATTAATAGCTATACATTATTATTACTAATAATTTTTTTAAAAAAAATTGGGGGAGACCATGGTCCCCTAAATTGGTAGAATGGCTTTATTTGCTCAAATTGAAAACAATAGGGGAGTCTTTTGATCCACATGGAACTATTTAAATATTATTTATATAATGAGGGGATTTTTTGCGCCTAACCCTAAATAAAAATTAAAATATTTGGATGGGTATGAGGTTATAATCAATAACAAACCTCACCTAAATCAAATCCTTAATTTTCTACACTCTCTCTCACGAACAGGAGACGAGGTACAACTTGCAAAGATGCAACCTTCATTATTTTCGACCTCCTAGCAATTCTTATAATTGGGAGGGGAGAAAATTAGGAAATTGATTTAGATCGGATTTGCTATTAAATATAATCAGATACATTTTCAAACATTTTATTTTTTATTTATTTAAATTACAGAGACAATTTTGCATCAGTAGTAAGTTATAATATCCTATTCTCACCAGTGAATATTTTTGTTCTTATGCAATCCTACCCAAAAGGATTGCTGCCAAAATAGTCCCATATTTATTAGAAAATCTCTTATTAACACAACGGAATTTAGTATAACTAAGGTGTAAAAAGCTCAAAAGACTCTAGGAATTGCTATCAATAATAATAAGTTTATTAAGTCTATTCTCTATACATTCAAGCATAATCTAAGAGTTCTTTGTAAGAAAACAAATAACTATTATAAATTCTCAATTGGATCAATAAATCCCACCTAAATTTTGTTTCCATTTAAATTCTACATAATTATACGGAATATTTAATTGGTTAAGAATTCCTGAAGACTCAAAACGTGAAGCATTTATAATAGTGATTTGTTTTCTTACAAAGTGTGAAGTCTGTCTGCCCAGCGGGAACACCAACCACCAAGCGTGAAGCTATTTTAGTCACCAGACTCTGCCATATATATTTAGTTGTATAGTGTATAGTCACAATTAGTCTATTTTAGTCACCAGATTCCTCACCACCTGGTCCACGTTTTTGGACTTGGTGTCATCGACTTCTTGTAAACCACGAAGGCACAATGTAATGTTTTAAACCTACCTAACCTCTCTCATCTGTATAGTCACAATTAGTCTAGTTTATTCACCAGATTCCTCACCACCTGGTCCACGTTATTGGACTTGGTGTCATCGACTTCTTGTAAACCACGGAAGCATAATGTAATGTTTTAAACCTACCTAACCTCTCATCTCACCTCATTTCATCTTTTACTTTCCATCTTTGTATCAGTGTCCTCTGGTGAACTTTGACTCGTTGCTCATTGGTGGTTCCGGCCTCTCGTCTTTTCAGAACCACACACATCGTCACAGGTCTCTGTTTGCTGCGGTTGAACTTTGAAGCGGTCTCTGACCATCTCAGATCTACGCCCTCACCATCTGAGATTTGCACCCACACACCGTCGTGACGCCGTTGCTCTCAGTTTCTCCATCTTCTCAGACCATTATATAGTTGGGAACCGTGAAACGGGCTCGGTCACGGTTAAACCCAACGGTTCGGTTCCCGTTCTATTTTTAAGGGAATTGTTGAGAACGATTCTAGTTCTGATTCCGATTTCCGACAGAACTCGCACCAAATCGAACCGAACCGTGTGCACCCCGAAAGACTACCGGTGTGTCGAAGCCCACCCAAAGAAAAAAATGGTCCTGTCTCTGTTGAGTCGTTGACTTGACTTGAAAAGTTAACTTGGCTGTTGGGATTTCTGGACCTTGTCAATTTCCAATTCCAGAAAGAGAAAATCTGCAGATCCGTTGCCCACACTAGAGAGAGAAAGAGACATCTGAGCTTTATAATTTGTAGAATGGTAATGGAATCGGAGGTTGGTGAAAGATTATCATAAATTGTTTGTGTTCGAGCAGAGAGAGAAAGGAGGGGAACCTGAGCTTCTTGTATTTGATAGGGTTTGTGTTACCCCATACACACCTATATACTAGGTTGGTTTATCAAAGCTTAATTGATATTCGATCAATGGAGCGGAAAAGAAAGGGAAAAGAGGTAAGCATGCCAAGCCCTCCCCAATCTGCAGAACTCTTGGGTGATGAAATTGTAAGACTCGAATGTGAAGTGTTCTTGAATTCCAGAAGCTCAGACACTAGTTGCCACACTTTCTCAGATGACCTGTACAATCATCTCATAGGCGTACGAATTGACACAATTTGGGACGATAATAAGGATGATGGGGAAAGAGAAGAGATTGGAGATGTAGCCCTAACAGCAATCTGGAAGTCGAAGGTGTCAATTCCTATATTCTCCAAAAACTATGCTTCCAGTAGTAGGTGCCTTCAAGAGCTCACCCAGATGGTGAAGTGCAAGGGAAGTACGGGACAATTGATTCTGCCCATCTTCTACGACGTCCAACACTCTGATGTGAAGCATCAATCTGGATGTTACGAGGAAGCCTTTCACGAGCACGCCAAATGTTTCGACGACATAACTGTTGAGGCATGGAAGGCGGCACTGAGAGAGGTTGGACAACTCAAGGGTTGGGACTTGACCAGAGAACCTCACTCTCATGGGTACGTAATTCCATCATTTGATTATTTATTTATCCTGCGAGCCCCTTATTTTATTGCATGTGTATTGCATGTGTAGTTAATGTTGGTTCGAATTCAACAAATCATAAACAACAATAAGCAAGAAGCTTCATTTAGAACTTAAAAATCAAATTAGGCAGATAGAAGCACAAATATAACAAGGATTTTAAGCTTTTCTTGTTTGTGAATCTGCTAGTACTTCAAATAATTTTGAAGTCTATTTTTAATTCAAAAAGCCTAAAATAAATATTATTATAAATTAATGTTTCGTGACTTTGCTAGTACTTCAAATAATTTTAAGCCTATATTTGATTCAAAAAGACTAAAAAAATAATTATAACTTAAAATCAAAATATAGAGAGTATAAATCATTTTATAGTTCTAATTTGATTTCCTTTGGTAATAATTTTCTTTTCATTTTCCACCTTGACATTAATCAGGTCTGAAGGAGTCAAATTCATAAAAGAGAATATTCTTCCAACAGTATTGTTGGCGCTAAAGAAGAATTGCATGCCTGTACCTGACAACTTGATTGGAATGGATCACCACTTGAATGAAATGATGCGACTGTTAGACAATGTCTCCAATGAAGTACGAATAGTTGGTATCCATGGCATGAGTGGTATTGGCAAGACAACTGTTGCCAAATTCATCTACAATAAGCTTCTCGAGTGCTTTGAATGCTGTAGTTTTCTGGCAGATATTCGAGAAACAATGCAACAACCCAAGGGTGTTAGTTGTTTACAGAAACAAATTCTTGCTGACACCCTAAAAAGGTGTCCTGAAATTGTTGGTGTTGATAGTGGAATCGACTCGATTAAAAACGTGGTTGTCAAAAAGAAAGTGTTCATTGTTCTGGATGACATGGATGAAAGCTCGCATTTTACTAGGCTTGTGGGAAAGCGTGATTGGTTTCATACAGGGAGTAGGATCATAATTACAACTAAAGACAGACATGTTTTAGATAATCTTAAAGTGGATGCGACTTATGAACTTCCAGTAATGGATCATGTGCAATCTCTCCAACTTTTTAGCATGCATGCATTTAGAAAGAAGTGGCCCCCAAATGATTATGTTAATATCTCTACAGATGTTGCGTTAACTGCTGCTGGGCTTCCTCTAGCTCTTGAGGTTATAGGTTCATTTCTATCTGGCATGGAGAAAGCGGTATGGGAGGATACATTGAAGAAATTGGAAAAATTGTCGCGCGATGAAGTCGATAAAAAGTTGAGAGTAATTTATGACGCATTAGATTTTGCGCAACAACAGATCTTTCTCGATATTGCATGCCTTTTTGCTGGGATGGATAAAGCAGCTGGATTTTACATGTGGGATGACTGTGGCTATCATCCAGAAAGGGAATTGAATGTCCTTTGTCTTATGTCTCTAATGAATGTGGGAGATGCTAATGAGCTGAAGATGCATGATCAGTTTATTTCTCTTGGTCGGAAAATCGTCTATGAAGAAAAGATTCGGGGAAATCGTAGTAGGTTGTGGAATCACGAGGAAGCCTTGAACATATTGGAGGGACGAAGGGTAAGATTTTAGTGATCCGAATTTTATTCCTCTTATATATATATATTGTTTAACCTTTCGAAAAAAAAAATAAAAATAAAAAAATAAAATATATATATATATATATATATATATATACCCCTTATTAAGTGTAATAAGTTGGAGAAATCTGGTCTTCTTTTTTGTATTGGCAGGGAACAGAAAAGGTGGAAGCCCTGAGTCTTCATTTTGAATTAGGGCCTGAAAAGAAGCCTCGCTTTACAAGTAAGGAATTTGCAAAACTAGTGAATCTAAGGTATCTCCGAGTGGATGGCATGGACCTTGTTGGGGATTTTGAGCATTGTTTGGCCAGGTTAAGATGGCTTAATTGGCGCAGTTGCCCTTCGCATTTTAAACCAACCAATTTTTATCTAGAGAATCTAGTCATTCTTGATCTGTCAGATAGTGGCATCACAGAAGACTGGGGGGGTTGGAATCAAATCAAGGTATTGTATAATATCCATACTTTTGCTTCTTCTTGTAAACTTTAATTATTCGTACAAATCATTCATCTCAAATAATCATAAATCTCAAAATCTTAAAACTTTATTATTTTCAGAGTCCTATAATGCATAAATTAATAGTTAGATATAATAAATACCTCGATCTGTAATTACAAATATCATAAAAATCAATTCAAATGTCGAGATCTTTTCTACGGAACGAACAATGTGTTAAACTACAAGTCCAAATAATAGCCAAAGCGTGGAAACCGATTTATCTCTCTTGAACTTTTGCACACAAAAATATTATGCGTGTTATTTTCATTCGTGTACATAACTGATGGGAATATGCACTTTTATAAAGGCAGAGAGAGGACCAATTTTCATTTTAGTAACTTTAATTCTACTTTCCATCAAAGTAAGGAATAAATAGGAAAATACTTCTCCAATAATTAATTACCAAAAAGATAATTTATAAGTTGATCAAATAATATAATATCAGTTTGATATCTATTTACTTAACCACCAAATAATAGAAATAAAATCACGTGTCCAAATTATGTGGGTCACAAATATAATAAAATATCTTACAGTCTCCCAGTTGGCCCATATGACAATTTCCACAGTGGTTTAATAAAATAGTCATTAATGTGTACCATAAATCAGATTATACCCTTAAGTTGGTTATCATAAATACTATGGAAAATAAATTACCAATGTGAGTCATGGCGATTATATGTCACTAAATGACAAAATCTCTTCCATGTATCACAATATTAGTAACCTGTTTAACATAGTCTATAAATGAGAAGTATCAATAATAATCCAACAATAATGTCTTTTCCAAGACTATTCCTATTACCACTTATTAAAGCAATACATACATGTACATTAATTAATAGAAAATATTATAAACACATTTAATGAGTGCAAAATATCAAATATACAATTAAAAAATAATTATCATTGACTACATTCAAGACCCATTCTTTCAACATGTTCCATAAATGTCTTGGGTGGCAGTCTGTGACGACCCTGAATTTTACAAAACCAGTATGTCATGTGATGACCCAAAACGGATCCAAAAATGCGAAAGCTAAACATGAACAAGTCTATAGAGATGTATGTCATCCCTAAGACACAAAAACAACCTTCCTAGAAGTCCCGTGACTCAGCGGAAGTAAGACCGGAGTTAGGGTTTCAAAACCCTCCAAGGAATGGACTAAGGGCAAAATGGTCATTTTAAATAGAAATGGGTACCACCGTGCACACCACTGGAAAGACAACAAAAAATTAACAAAGATGGACTCAAGAATCACTTGATTCGAAGTCCAGACAGCAAGGATATCAAGTCTTGAAGTCAAAGGAAGGAAACCCTTTCCTAGTTCAAACCAAATCATGACACTACTTCACTAAAACTTGAATATCTTGAGGTAAAAATGGAATCTGAAGCTGTAATTAGTACCATTGGAAAGATTATTTCAATGCGGTCAATTTAGACTTAAGAATGGACTAATTCGGAGTTAAAACGAAGAAGATATGGTGATTTAAAGTCGGAAGAGCAGTGCTAAAACAAGGTGCAAGAAGGATGGATGAGCGCTCGTAAATGAGCTCACCACGGCGCAGTAGCCAATTTCCTAATTACGAGCGCTCATCCCCCATGGACGAGCGCTCGTCCGGCAGACAAGCTTAGTAGCTTTTTGGACTTTAAACGCAATTTTGAGGACTTTCTGGGCTTTTTTGAAAAAAAAAAAACACAAAGAAGAACTCCCCCCTAAAAAATCATGTTTTCTAGCCAACTATGCCAAAAGAAAACTTTATTTTTCATGTAAAAATTCCCAAAATGCCCTTATGCATAGTTTTTTTGTAAAAGAAAAGTGAAATGAGTCCATTGGAGGCTCATTTCACCAAGGAAGGAGTTTTGTCCGGAAACGATCATGTACGCAGACGTAACTTACCTATTGGGATGTGCTACAATGACCCATGACTTAAAAATATTGCCGATGCAAAATCACCCGACAGCTAAAAAAGGCGAAAACGCACATGAAATGAAAATTTTGAAATCCAAAATTCTGAAATAGTTTCAAATTATCGTTTGGCCCTTGGTTACACTTCGTACATGATTAATGAGACCCTATGGAAGTTCTAAAATGCACTTCCTACACCCCATGCAAATGTAGTGAAGCTAATACTTGTCATTTTTCTAATTTCCCATAGTATAATTTGAAAGTAAAGTTGTTTATAATATAAAGTAAGTGTCATTGGCCTACGGTCTCATCTCATACAAGTCAAATACATCACAAAAGGTGTATTTAGGTATACATTACATATTATTTGAACAAAGTTTATAACTTTTGACATAATAAACCAAAATGAAGTATGATATGCTAACAAGTGCATATTATAGTATAACAAAAATATTCCAAGTAGTCAAATAAGCCTAGGGATGTTTTGATTCCCATAATAACGTCTCTTTTCCTAAAAAATAACCCGATAACTTTGGGTGAGTAAACAAGTTACTCGTAGGGAATGAGCATGCATAGACCTATCTTTTTACAAGATTATTACATTAACATGACATAATTCAAAAGGGGTCATGCCACCTAAAGTCTATGTCAAAATGTTTCTATTGGATCACTCCTAAGTCATATTAACATAAGACACATGAATTAAAATATCTATGAGATTGAATAAGATTGGAATAATCCACACAACACGACATGATTTAAATCTTAAAGGAATACAACTTGAAATTTAAATAGTGAAATCAACCAATGTGGATGCTTGGATATTGCCCGGATTAAAACCGTATTCTTGGGATCACTTTAAGACTACTAACCCATGGGTACCTTCCCCTAGTGCGCACTATAGTGTAGGGAGCTCTCTATCTCCCTTACTAGAACCAAGTTCTAGCTAAATCAAGTTCTTGATGATATCCCAAGTCTCCAAAATCAACAAGTGGTGCAACAAAGAGTGTATCAAGATACAAGTACTACATTAAACCACATTCCGTGCATAATCAAGATTTTGGAACACACAAGTCATGCCCTAAGTCCTCAACTATAATGGCATGTGAAATGTCAAGAAATCATAGTATGCATCTACATAGACTACAAACTAGTATTTATAACACAAGGAATCCATTGATGTAAATATACCACTAGTATAAGATTAATGATTTAATTATTTGTTTAATAACACTTGAGCAATTAAATCATTTCAATGAAAGGGTGCAAGTTCATTAACTACATTAATAAAGTTAAGTTGCAACAAGTCATGATACATGAAAAAGGCAAAAGCCCCATGAAATAGATGTCCAAATCATTAAAACACTAAGTAGAAATTAATTAACCTAAGTAATTAATTTATCTAAAAATCAAAGTTGTTCAAAAATTCTCAAAATAATATATGTGAAAGATCACTCGATGGTCATTGCATATATTAAATCAAAAGTACAAAATGAGCAAGATATCATCATGTAGAATGTAATTAATTTAAAATAATTAATTCTCTAGATTTCAAAAGTTATTCAAATAATCCCAAATTAATATATAACAAGAATTAAGTCATGGCCATGCTATATATCAAGTCTAAAATGGGATATAAGTAATGTACAATTAAGTAGAATTTAAATCAAATCAAATTAATTAAATCTTTAGATTTTAAAATAACTCCAAATGATTTTATACTAATACAAATTATAGATCAAGTCATGGCCTTTAAGAAAATCATGTCCTAGCTTAATTTCATGCAAGGTATAACAACCTACTAATTTAAAAATTAAGTAAAAGACATGTAACAATTTATAGTAAACTATAAAAACAATCAAAACACTTAGATTAAAAACCTAAATCACCCCTACCTTATTAGAGAAAAGTATCTCTAAAATTCAAGGCAAGCAAGCTCCAAATGATATACCCATCAAGGGTTATGTAGAGGAGGATGAGGGGAACTAAAAGTATTCCCAAGTTTAAGGTTGAATGTGAGAGGAAGGGCTTCAAAAATCAATTTCAAAGCCTAAGCATCAAATTTATCTAATGGTGGCTAGATTTTCTTTTCAAGAAAGGGATAAGATAAAATGGTGAAGGTGAAATGTGAGTGGGGGATATAGAGATCCTCCACTCACTATGTGAACTCGCACCATTATCAACACACACTACTTTAGGTCAATTACACAAAAATCCCTCTTTAAAACTATAATCCCAAAATAACCAAAAATATTTGCAAAAGGGTCCCTCCTCTAAATATCTTGCAAACTTAATTGCAAAGTGGTCCTCAAGATAAAAATAATTACTTATAGTAATTACACAAATAACCCCAAAAGAAAGAAAAAATTCTAAACAAGTGTACATCCATACCCCTAAGGAAGAAAGTACACTAATAACATGCATTTCTAAGAAAGCAAAAATAAACATTTCTAAGAAATCATGTCCAATAGATGCATGTAAAAGTGGAAACAAAACCGAACACAAGAAGTGAGGTTATGCAAGGGAAAACAAAACTGGGAAAAAGGCAAAAGAGAAAAGAAGAAGAAAAAAAAAAAAAAGAGCCAAAAAAAAGGAAAGAAGGGAAATGACCGGGTCATTACAACATCCCCTCCTTAAAGAGATTTCGTCCCTGAAATTAGGCCGTACCTGAAAGAGAGAACAAATGGGGATACCGGGAGCGAACCTCCTGCTCGAGCTCCCAGGTAGCCTCCTCCACACCGTGATGGTTCCACAAGACCTTGACCAATAGAATGGTCTTTGTCTGCAAGGCCTACTCCTGTGAATCAAGAATCTGGACCAGACCTTCCTCGTAGGTCACGTACTCATCAATGACCACATCGGTCCACCGTAGAATATGCGATGGGTTTTGGTCGTACTTCCTCAGTATAGAAACATGAAAGACGTCGTGAACTCTATCCAGGTCTGGCGGCAACGCCAAATGATAAGCAACCTCACCAACGTGCTCCAAAATCTCAAATGGACCAATGAACCTAAGAGACAACTTGTTCGCCTGTT